CCACCACTACTACTATACTACTACTACTACTACTACTACTACTACTACCACTACAACTACAGCTACCACTACCACCACTACTACTATACTACTACTACTACTACTACTACTACTCCTACTGCTGCTAATCCTGCTAATTCATTACCCCTACCACCGCAAACTGTAATTTAGGGGTCCTGAGCACTTCTGCTGCCCAGTTGCTGTCATGGACAGGCACCGTGCCACCTCGGGTTCAACTTCTGGGCTTTAAAGGATTCATTTGGGTTTTGAGTGCATGGGTTTAGGGGCTTGGGGGTGTGAGGCTTGCGCTTTGGGGGCAAAGGCAGGTACACGCAAAAGCATGTTGGCCTCCAGGCTCTAGCTTGCCATCAGGGCAACAACCTGCATCCTACATAGAATCTGATTAAAAACTATGGACCCTTTCTGACACCTCCTGCACGAAAACAGCCGAACAGCTCCCATATGCAGCCACTAAGCTTTCGGAGTTCCGAAGGCCCATGATGAGCTTTCCCAGCTCCAGGACACCCTCACTGCACTGGCCATTCCAAACAATGCCTGCGACGGGGCGAAGCACGAAATGTGAACATGGCGACTGCTTCTCAATGAGCTGACATGAGACCGTGACTGCGTATTGGAGATCTGGCCATTCGACAGGACTGGGAAATCTGCGCATATACACATGGATCAGCCTAAACCCGAATTACCCTGTCTTACCACTCGCACCGGTCAGCTTCAAGGCTGCATCAGTTTCATCAGTTTCGCTATTCTTGTTGCGAGCTCTGCTTGTGCCGACTCCCAGCCTCCAGCAAGTCCTGTTCCGCATGACAGAAACAGTCCCACTCGACCTTGTGCCAGCCCATCAGCTCCATACAGAGCCTGAGCAATGTATGCATGTATGGAGGGATGGATGGATGGATGGATGGATGGATGGATGGATGGATGGATGGATGGATGGATGGATGCACGGACGCATGCAGGTATGTACGCATCCATGTATGTACATGTATATATGTATGTATATGTATATGTATGTATGCACGCATGGATGTATGTATGTATGTACGTATGCATGCATGTAGGTATGTTTGTGTGATAACGAAAAACGTGCAAGTACATAAACATACGAATACATCAACAACCAACTTCACCGTTTTAAGCAAGCACATATCTGAACGAATATGTGTAGGGGGCATACCTATCTATATCTATCTATATCTATCTATATCTATATCTATATCTACATTTATATCTACATCTACATCTATATCTATCTATCTATATATGTGTGTATATTCGCACACGTGCAGTTACGGGTATATACATATATAGACAAGCACATAGATAGATCGATCGTAGATCGGTAGGTCGAGAGATATAGATACAAATCTAGATTCAGGCATAGATCTAGATATGGACATAGATATAGGTATCATACAGATACAGGTGCAGATATAGATAGAGATACAGACATAAATATCGTTGTAAACATCGATATAGGTAGAGGTATAGATACAGGTAGATGTGGATACAGAAACAGATGTAGAGGCATATCTACATAAGCATAAACAGATAAACAGTACGTGTGTGTATATATATATATACACATAGTGTATATATTATATATAGTGGGTGTATGTCCATACTACATATATATATATATGTATATGTATGTATATGTGTGTGTAGATGTTCGTGTACGTGTGTGTGCAAAACGTGCACAAACTGCTGGGCAACACTGAGAGCCCAGCTGAAGCCTCACCATCATTTACCAGGGCAGTCACGCAATCTTTATCGACCTCTGGGCGGGTTAGAACATGCACGGTCTCTTGTTTAAGCTGATTTACATCCTGTCCGAGCGCAGATGCTACGCACTAGATACGATGACTTCTGCAGTGGGTGGTCTATGGTAGATGCTCGGATGCACAGCACATGCCACATGCCAATACACTACAGTCACTACATGTAACCCGCATCATGCATGCAAGTGATGGGTATGTGAACCTATGAGATGGTACAGTATGATGTGCACTTCAGAACAATTACGATTTACTCCGCAATGTGTGGTGCTCGCATGTCCCAGAATACGCTGGAAATTCGTGCAGCATTGCACTGCTTCAAACAATGTGCTGTATTGTGTGATGTGAAGTCAAGCCGTATTCTCCTATGCAGTACAGCCCATTGCTTCACTTCGCATAATCAACAATCCCCACAGCATCCTGGAGCCCTAACCTCTGCAATCAAAACGACAACCCTTGACGTTAATCGGGTTTGCCGTGGAGCTTAGGGCATTTGGCTTCATGTTGCCCTGAACGCCGTAACGAATCTTGAGCTTAAGCGAATGTAGGAACTGCATCCAGAATCGCTGCAGCCCGGAATGAAGATTCTCGCACGCTCGGCTGGTTCTGAATATCATGCAGCAAGGTCGCTGCACAGCGCCTCGGCTGTCACACCGCATGCACACACAAGTGGTGACATAGCTTCACGAACATGTCGGCTGGCTCAGCATACGAATATGACATGATTCGTCATAAGCTTAATTTCTACAAGCGAAATTTTTAAGAGCCCTGCCTGGTCCTGGCTTCCAGGATCCCAGAAAGGTCTGCACCATCTCTAGCCAAGCTGCTCGTGGATGCTGCTCAAGACTCTCTTCTCCAACATTTCCAAGTCCTGCAATGATGCACGACATTCGAAGCATCTTCTTGCATCCCCATGCTTGCCATGTCGATGAAGGGCTGCAGCTTTCAGGTTTACCATGTAGCTTGAGGGGTGGTAGTGTGAACCTTCTGCTTGAAATTCCTGGTCCTCGAATCTTGACAACCTAAACCAAGGCACCCGAACCCCTGATGGTCTGACCACTGCAGTACATGGGCTTGAACCCCAAAGTACTAGCATTGTGGGCCGAACGTCAGCAACAGGATTGAAACCGAACTTGGCAACCCTGGTCCAAACTCCAGAAACCCACAACACCCTCAGTAAAGTCGCATGAAAATCGAGATGACACAGCAGGAAGTACAGAAATGCTAAAACTGCATGTCTCAATGAGTACTTCGTGGAATACTGCTCAGCGCATCTCAGTACAGTATGTTTGCTGCGCCACCAATGTGATGGCGAACGCAAAATATGATCTCCATCATAGGTGGCACATGTTTTTCTTGATGTCCTGCTGGGCTGCCTCGTGATTAACACCATCCATGGCAGGGGGGATGCCGCACAACTTCCCGTTCTTGACGCAACCAGCAGCACTCAGGCCCAATCCGCATACATACTTTGTGTCGCAGTTGGGTACCTCAGCCAGAGCTGCCATTGCAGCTTCCGCAAGGTTGCTGATGTGCATCTTGTGGCATGTCAGCACTTGGGGATCGACGTATGTCACCTCTCCAGACTCGGATGTCATCCACCATCGTGTTACATACTTGCCAACCAACTGCCCTGCGATATCCAGCACTGCCACTTTGATGTCTGAGCGGCCGTAGTCCACTCCAACGAAGACTTGTTGCTCCGCGGCCAGGTGATGGGAAATCGGTGCGGGAACGCTTCGCGTTCCGAACGGAAGTTGGAGCAACTGTCCGATCTTGTCCGTGTCGTTTTCTCTAGTAATGTGAAGTGGCCCGAACTGAGCTAGATTTTCTGCCAGCGCAGGATGTTCTGCAAACAGTGCAAGCAGCGATGTCAATGTGTCTTCTTGTTCACACACGACTCGAAGCGTTGATGTGCCCACGATGGCAGCAGCAATCGTTGCAGCACGCGCGAAAAGCACTTTAAGACCAAGCGACCGCTGTTCATCTCCTTTGTCAGGGACTGGGCAGTAGTACACATAGGGGCTCTCAAAGTCGGTACGATCAGCAAGTATCCAGACCTTTTCCAGCTTGGAGGACTCCAGCTCTGAGGCGATCTCTCGCAGTGGTTGCACGGCGAAGTCGGCCATGGTCGCCAGGGAAGCCGAGCTTCGCAAAACCACAGCAGATGTTGAAGTCCAAAGTAGAGCTAAGGTGGTGGGTTCACATACCGGTGTGTCGAAGGTCGGTGCAACTAATAACATCTACACTTCCAAGTTCAAGCGGACAGCATAGGATCGGCTGGGCGGCTCAATATGCTCTGGGACAACTGCGAATTACATGGTGGGCAACTTTTAGCCTTGCTTGAGCCACCAACAGATACCATGGATCCGGTCAGCTGACGCGCTTCACAGGACAGACAGACCTCACGGACCCAAAGTGGATCTGCCAGGATCCCGGCCTACCCCCGATGCCGCGGCTCTACACATGCAGATGGCACTAAATGGAATCCAGTGCTGCGGGGCTGACTGCTTTTTTCCAACCAGCCACGGCCTCCCACTCGTGCTGGCCTCTCACTCTATGCGAACTTCTTGGTCATCATCTGAAGTGGTACCAGGCTAACGCAATCGTAGGAGTAGCGGAGTGCGGCAGGGGCACAAACGATCAGTGCACGCAAATGGTTCACGTAGTGAAGACTAGCTGTGACTAGCTGATCAGGCGGCAGCTGCAGCAACAGCAGATCCTGCTGCTGAACCTGCTGTTAGATGACCACGACTAGTACTAATACTACTACCACCACCACGGCCACGACCACGACCACGACCACGGCCACGACCACCTACAACCACCACTGCTACTACGACCGCGGCCACGAGGACGAGGACGACAACGACGACGACAACTAGTAGTAGTAGTCGTCGTCGTCGTCGTAGTAGTAGTAGTAGTAGTAGTAGTACTACGACGACGTTACTACGACTACTATACTACCACCACAACATAACCACCGCCACGGCGACGACAGCTGCACAGACAAACCATCGTCGCCGTGGGTTCTGAAGAGCTCTTTCAGTGCTACTGCTAGCTATGTTGTCAAAGTTCTCCTGCTTAGATGCATGATGATTATCTGATCTAGACTTTGAAGTAGCCAGGGAGAAAAAAGTATAGACTTTTATTTTATAATGGTTCCCTCAAGGAACAGGTCCCCAAAAAAAGTATTCAAGTATGGTACTCCAGAACCCGGGATTAGAAGCCTGTCATCCGGAGCATCCAGCTATCCTCAGAGCTCCTCCTAGGGCGAGCCGTGGCCCTGACTCGGACTTCTTCTCCGGGGGCGACGTCAAGAAATACCTTCAATGTGTCAGGGTCATATTAATTATCTAGGGTTTAGGGTTAGGGCAGTTTAGGGATAATTGGGTTAGGGTAGAATTGTTGAGGGCTTGCAGAACTCTTAGTTAGTTTGTCATTGAGCCGATGAGTGGGCGAGTTCCTTTTAGTTATGTAACATGTGTACGTACACTTACATAATCGGTATGCACAGGGTGCAAAACCGCAATAGAATGCCAGCAGTCGAAACGATAGTCATGATCGTAGCATAGCAAAATCAACAATATCCACCAATCCAGGGCCCAAAGAGGTACTGGCTGATCGTAAAACGAATGAACCTGAGTGCGAGAGTCAGCCCGTGTGCCCTGGAGTGTTCAACTGCCCGGGCAACAAGCTTGCACAATGTGACTACTGCAGATGACCCTAAACCCTGAACCCCTAAGCCCGAAACTAAGGGTGCAAAGAGACCGCAACAACCCTGCAACCCGTCAACGCTACCCCCAAACCATAAACCCTAAACCCCCAAAGCGGCACCCCTAAACCCAACAAGCGATAAACCACAATAAAAGAACCCTTACAGGAACCCCCACAGGAACCCTTAAAGAAACACTTGAAGGAACTCGTAAACCGTAAAGGAACCCTTAACGGAACCCGTAAAGGAACCCGTAAAGGAAGCCCCGAATGACTCCTTTCGCCAAGTAGCCTGCCGCGCGTGCTTGCCAAGCCACGGCTCGACCTCTGCTACACAGAGAGAGGTTATAGGGCTTATAGGGGTTAGGGCGGTTAGGGCTCATGGGGGTTTAGGGTTAGGGCTTATAGGGGTTTAGGGTTTATGGCTTGGGGTATGGGGTGTAGCGAAGTTCGGAGATGAAACGGCTGAAGGTGTCGAAAGGGTTTGTAGCCCTGACATATGAACCAGTTCTATATTGTCAATGCAAACGTCTTTCGTATGCTAACGACTACGAAGCATGTTTATGGAAAAGTTGATTCCGACTGTTACCGCTTATCTATGTAACAGTGTGGCCGGAAGAGAGGTGTCGACTTCCGTCGACATCACTGTGCGAAAGCACAGCGCTTATGCCGGCATGCCGACGTAGGACACACGTTTGCAAAATCGCAACTATGCCATTTTGGCAAATACACTGAGATGTGTAGAATCTGGGAAATACGTCGACAAGCGCCAAAATCCTGTCCCGACAGACCCTGTCCAAACGCATGCCCGCAACCTCTCTGGTCAGTCAAGCCAAACTAAAGCAAGCCAGGCAAATCAGAAAGTCTTACAATCCCTGTCTAGCATGAAATGTTCCTGACGGTCCTAACATAAGAAAGCTTCATCTCACATCCAAACTGTAGACCTCCTGCAGGGGCCCTGATAATTGGAAAAGGGTTTGGGGATACATTATACTATAACTCCAATAAGGAACCCCCAAAATAATATTGGTAAATTGGGGCGCCTCGATTAAAGCTGAAGTCCATAAAACCTACCTCTTTAAGGCTCCTTTTGATTTCCTTGTATCAGTCCTTAAAAGTAAGTTTTGAAGGCCGCTATACTAACCGATATCAACCCCCAAATCAATAAACGATGGATTCGCCCGAAAAGAGGCTGAATTACGGCTTTTAGGGTTTAGGGTTTAGGGGTTTAGGGGCTTGGGGGTTCGGGGGTTTGGGGAAAACCGCGGACTTGAAGAGTGGACCCTGACAGCAGGTCCGCAGCAAGTTTGCAAATGGGGCTGCATCTGCAGTGCCCCACCAATAACCAATACTAGGTTCCTTGATTCATGTTACTACATACAACCCCATACCGTCATCTGATTCTTAAAGCCCGCATATACTAAATGCTTACAAGAACCCTTAAAAGAAGCCCAAAACCCTGCTCTAATTATATTTGGTCTCCTATACTTAGCCCTCATAAGAACCCCCTAATATTACCCTATCTCTACTCGTGAAGCTCTTCTCTTTCGAGAGGTAGCCTCGCCTTGACCCCTTTGAGGGAAGGCGACATCAAGCTCACGAGCCTTTCGGGCCTGCGCCGCCGAAGCTTGCGGGTCTTTATAGGCTTTGTTAGTGTGAAGTTTTGAGATTTGGGGTTTAGGGTTTAGGGTTTAGGATTTGAGGTTTAGAGACCAGGGCTTAAGACTTGGGGTTTAGGGTCTACATGGGCTAAGACTTCGGGTTGAAGGCTCAAGATGTGGAGTTTTGGGTTGAAAGGATTGGGTTGGCCTTTTTCTGTCTCCCGGCTTCCGGGTTGCCTACAAGGTTTCAGGGGTCAGAGCTTTAGGAAGGCTCGGGCGGTGAGCCCGGCGAAAGTCGTCGAAGCACTCATTGTTTTCAAGTCGCATTGGGTAACAAGGCTTTACAGGGTTTACCTAATAAATGATAAATACATATATATATATATATACAACTATAAATAGAATATGCATATATATATATATATATATGTACATGTACATATATATATATATATACACATGTAACCTCCAATATGGAATACCCAACATAAAATGTACAATCTTTACATAAGGGTTGATCCGAGAGTGACAAAATCTCTGCAGCAGAATAATCCTCCCAAACTTCCCCTGCCCGAGACCTCCAATGCGACTGGATTTCAAAGAGGAGCTTCAGCCGCTCCAGCGGATCCTTGCTGTGATTTAGGGTTCAGGGTTTAGGGTTTAGGGTTCAGGGTGGGTGCGACATGTTGCCTTTATATGTGCGCACTCTAAGCATTTCGAAGGCGCGACTCCAACATAAGCCGACAGAAGAGATGGATCTGCGATAGACTCGAGCTGCATGCTCGCCTGCAGACGCATCTACAAGCGATAAGTCCAGATTTCGTATTGGTGAACTTGGCTTTCCTGCTTCGAAAAAATTCCTGATTCAAAAGATTTCTGCGATTGTGCCGAAGCCAAACCCCGCCAAGAATGAACTTTGTGGCTGCAACTGCATGCGACATGGACCCCAAATATGACAAGCAAAAACTGCTACAAAGTCTGAAAGTGTCTGAAACCCTGAACCGTATCCCGTCATGGTCCTTCTAGCTACAGTATAATGTATAATCTAGCCCTGAAGCCTGACCTAAGTATACTAAAGCACCACAACCCTATAACTCCGAAGAATCCCTGACAGAACCCTCGCAAGAACACGATTCTCATCGTAAAGGTTCGCATATACTAATATACGATACTCTCATTCACTGAACCCTCAATAGTAACCCTTATAGAACCTTGAAGGCATCCCTTTAAGGGATCAATCAGGGTTCCTTTATGGGCTCCTTTAAGGGATCCTTCAAGAAGGCCCTATAAGCCCTGACTCCTTGAAAGGATCCTTCAAGGATTCCTTTAAAGGCCCCTATAAGCCCTGACTCCTGATCTCAGGACTCCACTCGAGGCAGTGTCGTCGCATCCAGGGCGTGGATGGTCCCCTGCCGGAAGGTCGGAGGGCCATAATTCTCTTACTGTAAACCCCTAAACCCCTGTAAACCCTAAACTCTGAAGCTCTAAACCCAAAACCCTTAACCCTAGATCCTAAACCCTCAGCCCTAGGCACTATGCAAAGCCCTTGAATTCGGCTTGTTCCCTTCGAGAGGCTTTCAGCGTGCGAAAAGCCCTGCCTCGAACTCATCGACGTAGGCGCTGCCTTCACACACCGCCTGGCGATGTTCCGTCACTGCTTGTTCTTATTATCTTAATTGTTCTTCTCATGACTATTGATATTACTGTTGTTACTAACAAGATCATGATGATTGTGATTATGATTATAATTATGATGAATACTAGTACTATCGCTACGATTTTTCTTACTTTTTAATCATTATTTTTGATACTATGAGTATTAGAAGTAGTACTCCGTTTTGCATTCGGGGAAGGCCCTGGCCTGGAGAACTTGGTCGGATGTCATGTCGGTGTTGGTCAGTTCCTGCCATGCGCGGAGCTGGCAAGGAGCTCTTCTCCGAGGGGCTCACTCTCCCAACTGAAGAGCCTTCAACCCTGAGGGTGCTGAATACATATATGGGAGATACCTACCCAACCACAATCGTAACTCCTACTATAGACCCTACTTTCTACTATGTAGGGTCTCAGGGCCCTCCGGACGAAGAAGAACTGCATGCATACGCACAGACACACATGAGGTAGGACCTGTCATTGCTGATTGCACCATATCTACACCCAGGAAATACGTCCATTAAAAGGCCTTTGTGCATTCAGCAAAAATCCTAATGCCAACCTTACTTCACATTCATACATGCTGATATCCTTCCATGATGTGTATATATATATATATATGTATAGACACACACACACACCTGTATAAAGACACATACAAACTTATATTAGCATGAATGTGTAGGCGTCGGTCTGTGCATGTACACATGCCACCTGCTATGCATCTACGAAATGGTCTGCTGGTTTCATCGACACTCTCTCGATGAGAGCACGCCCCCATAATCCGAGCAGGTGAGGGTTTAGGGATTCGGGATTAGGCTTTAGGGATAAGGGATAAGGGACAGGGGATAAGGGTTTAGGGATAAGGGATACGCACCTTGAAGATCTGCAGGAACTCGTCCACCTGCAGAGCGCCGGAACCTGAGCCCCGACTCCCGGGCTTCCTGAAAGCAAAGGAAGCCTGTCTTGCAAGGCAGCGGCAGTGCTGTTAATGTAGGGGCCTTAATAATTAGAATAGGGTTTTGGGGGTTTCTCTATAATTATGGTATAATATGCCCCAAATGCCCCAAACCCAATTCTCATTATTTCTTAAGGCCCCATATATGCTAGCCGCCAATCTTGTCTCAGATCTATAGTACCACTCTGACAATCCCATCAGGTGCAAGCCGACCCGGGCCATGAAAGAGCAAGACGAGCTTTGGAAACTAGGGGACCTTAATATAGTACCCTCAATAGCATTATCCTTATTATAAGGTACCCCTTATTTTGCAAAAAGGCTCTGGCCGGGCATCACCGTCTTCGCCAAGCGCGGCCGCTTGATCCCCAGCCTGCCAAGTTTGTGCCGGTTTTTCTCGGCACTGGCTTCGATCTTGTGCAGACACCCTTGCACTTGGGAGTTGATCATGACCAGTGAAGCCATGATGGGTGCAAGTGACCAGTGGAAAGTAAAAGCGAATCGGAATGCTCGGGATTACAGGACCCTTACGACGCCAGGTGCCGACTCATGTTTCTTTCTAGAGTATGGAAAAGCCCAAAGCCTCGCCGAACGTTTCCTGGAATTCGAGTTTCAAGCACGTCGCAGCGACTTCTGTGGCACTGGAGGAGGCAGCTCATAGCGCCGTCGCACCTGCATCTGACTCTTGCTTGGGACCTCGGGTTCTGCAACTTACGCCTCGAAAGAGATTGCCCTCGAGTACTACCCAACATTTCTTCCCAGAGCTGCTCGGAGTGAGGCGTAGGGTTCCCAGAGACTCCAATATCCCTTGATTAAGGAAAATACCTGAAATCATATTAGGGATCCTACTATAGTTTAAGGTATATTCCTTAATTAAGGGATATTGGAGTCTCTGGGTTTAAGGGTTTGAGGTTCCTTCCCATGTCCGGAGCTGAACAGATCAGCTGGAGACTCTCCTGCATGCCCATGAAAGCAATACGGATGGAGACTGACATGCCCCACCGAAACGAAGTGCAGAGTCAGGACATGGGTGGCTGTCAAAATTATGGTCCCTTTCTGGATCCTTATTATAATAGGGCACCTATTATTTAGGAGGGACCATAACTTTGACAACTACCCACATGCATCGAACTGGATCGAAAGGACAGAGTCATAGAGTGCGTACGCAGGTTTCTGCTTCCTTCGATCTCTACAGCTGCTGACCTCCTGCGGGTCCTCGCGGAGGATCTGCAGCGCTCGAAAGCCGCTGATCTCGCCAGGGGGATGCTGCTTCAGAAAGAAACGGTGCCGGGGCATCGGCGTTCCACCAAATGGATAAGTTACAATATGGATAAGTTACAATAGCACAAGGGAGAAGCGACGTTCAAGCACATAATTCTGCAGGTTCCCAATCCGGGGCTGCTAATGTTGAGCCTAAGCATGAAACCCAAACCAAACGCCGCCCTCAGCCCCTACACTTCGGAACTCTACTTAGCTAATATACTAAAACCCTATACTATACACAACTCCCCTAAGTGACTAGTACTAAACCGCTACACCCGGAGGCCCCGAAACCCGAACGCAACATGGCCTTCTGCGGATCCAGTTTGAAAGTCGAACTGCCAGCCTCCTCACCCTGGCTGTCAGGTGGAAACAGGCACGGAACATGCAAGAAACGCAGCAAACTCAGAAGGTGCTCTGATCAATGCTTTCGGTACCAAAAGTGCCACCGGTTGCATGTTTGTGCTGGCATGACTATGAGTATAGCATTGTCATCATTGACTCCTATTTTTTGCAAGCCGTTACTATATCCGGCCGGTATCGACAAAGAAAACGAGGATGAGGCCGACGATGACAGACGTCGAGGGGCACGACAAGGAGGAGCTCGCCAAGTGTGAGGAGGAGGAGGAGGAGGAGGAGGACGAGGAGGAGACGCAGGAGTGGGTTTAGGGTTTAGGGTTTAGGGTGACGAGCAGGAGAAGGAGGAGGAGGAGGAGGAAGAGGACTACGACGACGAGGCACAAGCGAACCGTGTCGAGAAATTCTTTATGGGTACAAGCGGCGCCATCGCCCTTCCCGGATAAGGCAAGAAGCAACGGAAGAAATAATGACGGCTCATGTAGATCTCAAGACCCACAAGGCGTTCAAACAAGCCACAAGCGGGGCTGCTGCCTCTTCGGGAGCTTCGGCTCCTCCCAAGAACCAGCACTAGAAGCAAACCACTGGCTTGTGTAGGGGCTAGGGTTACCGGTTTCGGAATGTAGAGTTTAGGGGCCAGTGGAGCAGCTCAGACAAAAACAACAATCGTCCTAAGAGTAAGAGAAGCAGCAAAAGCCACAGGGGGCAAGAAGAGCACAACAAAAAGGAAAGACGGATAGCAGCGGCAACCATCCGTTGCGCAACAACAGGCATGATAAGCACACCCAGATGTAAAAATTGAACACCATTGCCGTCCAGCGTGTTGTAGCTCCTAACTTCAACTAAAACAGTGGTATACGTTCATATACAATAAAACTACTGTCGCATACTAGAACATACTAATGATATGCTACAGTTTTTGCAACATGCCATAATGTGCTATAAATATAATACTAGAATATGCCAAAAAAATCTGCACATGAGCTTAAGCAGCCTTTCGAGTCGACCAGGCCCCCTGTGATTCTGACACCCGGCCTGCCACATCACAGTATCTTTGCAGACCAGGTGTTGTCATCTATCTTTGGGGTTCAGGGTTGAGGGCTTCCGGGTTCAGGGTTTCGGGTGGCGCGTGGTGATCTTTTCGGGACTTTAGTGCAAATAGCGGTACTACTCTTGATGATATAAACCCTGCATGACCTTCAGGACCATAAACTATAGGAGTTGTGGTATATTCCGTATTATGGATACCTTCAGGATTTATTCCATCAACCGTAGGAATTGTGGTATATTCCTTATTATGAATACCTTCAGGATTTATACCATCAACCGTAGGATGCAAGGTTTCTTGATCTCAGATCACCGGCCTGGGCTTGTCGCCACAACGGAGGCCAGGGCCTTTTGCAAGACGCCCAGGCTGGCGACGGAGACCTGCCCGGGCGCTTTCTTGGGACCTTCTTTGGGGGGTTTGGGTTTAGGGTTTAGGGTTTAGGGTTTAGGGTTTAGGGTTTAGGGTTTAGGGTTTAGGGTTTAGGGTTTAGGGTTTAGGGTTTAGGGTTGTGGGGCTTAGGAGTTCCTCTGGGGTTTTAGTGCGTTGGCGTGGGGATCTGTAGAATAGTTCATGGTCCGGCTGCACTATATCACACTCTCTCTTCTGCTCCCTTCTAGTTTGGTGCATATATTACATATGCTATGCACGACTGGTAGGCCTGTCATAGCTTTGGACCCTCATTGGAAAAAGGTCCAAGAATGTGCTGTAGAGTATAGCCGCCATACCAGGAGACACGTTTCTGGCGGAACGGCAAGTAACAAAACTGCAGAGAAACCTGAAACTATGAAGGAACGGTGGCCGACGCTACCAACTTATGGCTGCTACGAGCAGCTTTGCTGATGTGCATCCCGACTTGGGTGCTTGAGCTCTTACAGCCCTTGGAAGATTATTTGAGTCTAGACCCGCCGTCCTCACCGTCAGGCAGCGTCTTCTGGACCTGAGGCAGCGCAGGGCCCTGTGCCAACTTACTATAGCTCAGCCATGGCCGAAGTAGTTGAATATGCAGTGAGAGCATCTTCCACGCCTCCTCTAGTAGTGAAGGGCCGTCGACGGCCTGGAGGTTTCTCGCACCACCACATGTAGCCGGTATCCCCATCGAAAGTAGAGCAGGGACAGTCATGCAAGCATGCAAACCCCGAACTGCAAGGCCTGCAATGCCCAGCCATGTGCCGTGACAACGGTGAGGGCCGTGTCCAGAATCTGGCATGCGGGCTGTAGGGTCTACATCCCAATGGACAGTCCCCTGCGGATCCACGGTTCAGTTATTCGGAACGAACCGGCAGGACTAACCCTGGGCATTTGTGACACCCACCAAGCCGCATGATCCAACCTTCGTCAAGATGAAGGAGGCTCTGACACAGTGCATCAGATGACACCGAGGCATGCACGATTGACCGCACGAGTACAAAAGGCACTCAGGGCATCTGCATCAACTTCAACAGGATAAGCTTGCTCCAGAATTACAAGTAGTCTTAATCAGCAAATGTTTGCCATGTTCTCGAACCGCCTGGGTCTTGAGCTTCTCAGGCATCAGACGCCACTTGCCATCCAACTCCACATACCTCAAACGCAGGAACACTACATCTTTAGGAGATATCGTGCACAGCGATACAAGCAAACCACCTGCAGCGGAGCATCTGTCCCTTGAAATCCTTCCTGCTGCAAAATACTAAACAAAGCTGCTAATCCAATCCCGCCACGACTCCTAGTAGTAGTCGTCGTCGTCGTCGTAGTAGTAGCAGCAACAGTAACAGCAGCAGCAGCAGCAGTAGCAGCAGCAGCAGTAGCAGTAGCAGTCGCAGTCGAAGTCGAAGTCGCAGTCGCGGCAGCGGGAGGATGAGGATAAGGATGACGATTATGATGACGATGGTGATGGTGATGATGATCATGACCATGGTCATGACGATGATGATGATGATGATGACCATGACGATGATGATGGTAATGATGGTGATGATGATGTGGATGGTGATGACGATGGTGATGGTGATGGTGGTGGTGATGATGATGGTGATGGTGGCACTGCTGGTTGTCAGGTGGTGGTTTTGGCGACAGTGAGTTGCCTCATTCTTCCTGTCGGTGCTCTAACTTCATTAGTGTGTTGTTGCTGTGCAGGTGGGTGTCTACCCTGTGCTGTCTTGGGATCCGACGGTCCGTCGTGCAGCACTTGTTTCAGCTCTGCTGTGGAGCCGGCCACCTGGCACCTGAGCAGTAAAAGCATCTCACGGAATCATAGACAAACACACAACAACATATGCGCGAACACACACACACACACATATCTTGCCATGCCGAAGATCGACAGCTTTGCAAGTGCTTTTCGCAGTAGAGGTCGTCAAGCGAGCTGTCCACCCGTGCTGACAGGCACTCGTTTTTCTTCTGACCGGACAGCCCTGTTAAAGTAATCGCACAAGTTGCCCATGATGCTCTTGAGCGGTGCTGCATGCACCGTTTGGACAAGCAAAACAGCAGCCTGCCACAAAACAGTGCATAACATTTATATTGCGGTAAACACAGCGTCCAGACAAAGTTTAGTGCCAAAACAGCTCAAGGTGATTCTTGATTCAGCGACAGCTGCAAACCCCGTTGATGTCTCTCTTAGCCACAACCATCAAACACATCGACCCATGCTGGTGGTAGATGTAGACGTAGAAGTTCACTGAAATCTTCCTTCAGCCTTCAGCATATCTGCAACCGAGGTCGCTTCCGCCACTCCCAATGCTTGCATAATGTTAAAAAGGCCATAACAGGCTCAAATTGGCAGGTGTAAACGCAATGAAGCCAATGAAGCCCAAAGACTAAATCTGCACACGCGCAGAAACACTTGGCCGAAAAAGCCTCTCCTTTCTGAGAAGAACGCTGAAGCTCTTGGAAGGTCAGAAGCTTCTGCTGGTCCTCCGCAGCTACCTGACGCACATATTAGGAACATGTACAGCAAGAAGACAGACGCACGGACTGAGGCTGACAGACATGGACACGGAGAAGAGACCCATCGAGGGATCAGCAGATGGAAAGACACGGATAGCGAAAACTAACACAGACAGAAACAACCGAAAAAAAAGAATGCATTCGACATGCACGTGCCGATGTAGGAGGTGTGGAGCCTTTGCGAGAAGGCAGGAGGGGGGGGTTTCTGGTAGTTGCTAAAATGCTGTAGATGTATCAAGTCAAGGGCACCGTTGATTCAGAGTGTAGTAGAACTGCAGCAGTGCTGCCTGTCCGAGAGCACTGGGGCGCAGGAGCTCGCGAACCTGGGCACATTCACAAATTTTTTGGCTGTACATGATTCAGACTCATCTGCAGTCCGATCGGGCAATGGCCAAGGAAGCCTGTTTGAAAGGCTTGCTAAATGAGCGGGAAAAGTGTTGCTACACGGTGCGAATGGAGTTCGACGAGTTGAGAACGAGTTGAGGAGCTGGTGGTGAGAAAAAGGACCTAGCAGCAGCGACCATGTCAACAACAACAACAGCAGCAGCAGCAGCAGCGGCATTGGCAGCAGCGGCAGCGGCAGCGGCAGCGGCAGCAGCAGCAGCAACCACAACAACAACAACAAAAGCAAAAGCAACAGCAGCAACGGCAACAGCAACAGAAACTGCAACTGCACCGCAACCGCAACCGCACCGGCAGCAGCAGCAGCAGCAGCAGCAGCAACAGCAACAGCAACAGCAACAGCAACAGCAACAGCAACAGCAACAGTAGCAACAGCAACAGCAACCTGTGAGGTCGAAACTCAAATATCAACAGCATTTGCAGTAAACAGCATTTGCAGGAAACATAAACATGGTAATACAGCTGCTTCTGCTGCTGCCGTGCTGCTACTCTACCACTACCACTACTAGTACTAGTAGTAGTACTAGTACTACTACTACTACTTCTTCTTCTTCTACTCCTACTCCTACTACTACTACTACTACTACTACTACTACTACTGCTACTCCTACTATACTACTACTACTACTACTACTACTACTACTACAATTACTACTACTACTACTACTACTACTACTACTGCTTCTCCTACTACTACCAGCCTACTACTACTACTACTACTACTACTACTACTACTGCGACTACGACTACGACTACTACTACTACTACTACTACTGCTACTACTACTGCTACTACTACTACGACGACGACGGCTACGATTACGATTACGACTACGACGACGACGACTACGACGACCACGGCTATGACTACGATTACGGCTACGATGATGATGGTGACTATTGCTGCTACTGCTGCTGCTGCTGCGCTCACCACGGCTACTGCAAGAATGATGAGCACAAGTGATTGTAACTGTTCGAGCAGAAAGTGGACAAGGAGCATACAAGAAGATGTATCCGAAGTAGTACATCGGAGAGCGAGAGCAACAGCACTGAAACTCGTATCCAAAAGAACGGCAATCGATCCGAATCTCGGTCACACTGGAATGAAGAGCAAGCCTTGTTCATGTCCACCTTCTCTGGTTTGAGGATGAGCTGACCCCTGCACTGGGCGAAGACATTGCACCTTCATCAGCCCGGATGCAACGGCTTACTTGCGACAGTTCGAGCTATTTTTCCATTTGCCACAAGACAGGCGACAGGAACACAGTGATGGATGGAATGGAGACTGGTGCCGAACTTCTACGATGTGTATGCAATCAAGATGTACGCCACTTTGAGACCCTTTCAGCTGCCTGATCTAGCTTTCCTCGACGATACTTAACTAAAGAGACCGTTGGCAAACCAGTTCAGATACTCGTTGGCACTCACCTGTCAAAACTTTCCCTCTGCTAGCTATGCGGCATGGCAGCCGAGGATATGAATCTGTTGATGCAGCCACCGATTCTGCTGCTGCTGCGGATGATCGTTAAATGATGCTGCTGACAGGATGGTGATGCTGGCGATGTGAAGGTGGTGTTGGTGAAGCAGAAGATGATGATGGTTAAAATGGTGGTGATGATGATCATCGTGATGAGAGTGCCGCTGCTTATAACGACGGCCATGATTATGATTATGTCATAACGATGGTTGTAGTCAAGTGCGATTCTGGTCATAACGATGATTCTTGTGTTAACGGTGGGTGTTTCAGTGGTGGTGGTGGTGGTGATGATGATGATGATGATGACGCTTGTGATGGTGGTGACGATGACGACGGCAACGATTACGACGATGATGATGCTGATGATGCTGATGATGATGGTGATGACGGTCGCTCTTATTGCTAATGCTGATGATGCTGATGATGCTGACGATGTGACGATGATGACGATGAGAAGCAATGCTTGACCACGCCCAAGATCATGACATGACGGTGTTGGTTGTGATGCTTCTGCTGGCAAAGCTGATGCCGGAATTAAGGCGGCGACGAGTGATTGCAAGCACTGTGTCACTTGTCTTGTGGCTGACATGTACTTTCATGACTGTGAAGACGGTCGTTACAACAGTGAAAGGGAGACGCAGCAGCCGATCATGCCAGGATGAAAATGTCTGATGAAGCACCCCACGTCGCCTGGATAACAGCCCTCCGCACTACCCTCCAACTGCCGCGGCCTTCCCTCTGATGCCTAAACCCAGGTTCTGCCCACAGCTCTACGAAGCTTCTGTGATGCACACCGGCCCTCAGCATGCATCCCGCTGCCTTGACTGCTCTAGGGTGGAGCAGTTGCCGCCTGCCGCAATCCCAAGTGACAGTCGGATTTAGAATTTACGGATTGAGGGTTGGGGACTCGATGGCACTCGAGCGTTTGTACTTATCAAGGGCAAGGCAGCAGGGAGCCAAGCACAGAATCCATGCAATGCTTGGCATGGCAACGAAACATTAGGAGGCTGTGATAAAGGGTTCATGAATGCCCAAGAGCAAGAACTCCCAAAGTGACGGACTTGTCTTCGGAGCCCTCGTTGCATGATGGCTCTTTGTAATAGAACCATAGATACTTGCATGTAACACTGTGCTCGCGGAACCGCATGCAGCCTTTCGCTTGTCTCGCACTGGCTTCAGAACCGCGGCCGCTTCGTGAGCCATGGACACCGTCCATCGGAATCCATACCCCATCCAGGCCTTTAACCAGCAGCGCTACCTGAAAACTAAGCCACCATCCCTGAAGTGTTTTCAGAGAGTGGGAATCGCAATCTCGGAGAGGGCGCCATCACAGGAGAGCCTTGCCAACATGGGCAGGGAATGAGACGCAAACCATATGAGTGGTTGTCAAAATTAGGGTTCCTTTTTGGGTCCTTACTATAATACGGCACCTATTACTTAGGGTACCCCAAAAGGGACCATGATTTTGACATCTGCCCATATGGTTTTGGGGTTTTGGGGAGTTCAAAGAACGACAAAACTTCTGCCAGGAGAAGAACAGGAGCTGCGGTATCCACAGATACCACAAGCGCATCTTGAACCCCAAAACCTGTGGCCTAGAGCAAGCGTCTAAAACTCTAAATCCTGAAACCTCCTCTGAATGGCTCAGTGTTAAACACTCCAGAAGCCCTGGAGCCGTACACCTATTCCAAGGCTCGCTCCAAATCCACCCCCAAACCTTCCGAGTCACGCTTGACGAGCTGTTTATGTAGGGTAGGCAGGTAGGCAGGCAGGTAGGTAGGTCGGGGAGTGGGTGGGTGGGTTGGTGGGTGGGTTGGCGGGTGGGTGGGTGGGCATAGGTAGGCAGGCAGGAGGCAGGACTTGCCTACCAGGTAGGTAGGTAAGTAGGTGGTGGTGTAGTCGTAGCTGTAGCCGTAGTCGCGGTCGCAGTCGCAGGAGGAGATAGTAGTAGTGGGTGTAGGTGTAGGTGTAGGTGTAGGTGTAGGTGCAGGTGCAGGTGCAGGTGCAGGTGCAGGTGCAGGTGTAGGTGTAGGTGTAGGTGTAGGTGTAGGTGTAGGTGTAGGTGTAGGTGTAGTAGTAGTAGTAGTAGTAGTAGTAGTAGTAGTAGTAGTGGCTAAGCCGTCAGAAAGCCAGACACGATCCTTATGCGATTCCCGGCAACTAACTTGAAAGAATAGCCGTAGCCAAAGATCGAACCATGTCTACCGTGGCTACACGCCACATCGACGGCCAAGCCACTCTGGCACCACCACCTCACACCTCTTGGTCTGGTGGAAGGCCACGAAGCTTGGTAGGTAGGCGGCCTTCGGGAGGAGCTTCATTCAATCTTACCCGACTATCCTCGCATCCCCTGCGCGTCAGATTCGTGTGCTTCAGTGTACCGGTGTTGCAGTAACCCAGCGTAACGGTGAAAGTTTTTGGGTCCAGCACGACTGTCAGGACATGCTAGTGCGTCTTATGCTTTGCAATTCGTGATATGCATGGCAGGCACTGCAGCTTCCGCTACCGCGAAACTGGCCTAAACCTAAACCTTAATGATAAATCATTCGCTAAACACAGTGTGCGGCACACCCGTCGGCTCTAGGCTAGTTCATGTAGCATACGATGCGTACAATGGACCACACAGCGACGACTATATATGTGCATAAGTTATATTTTCTATGCATGCATTCAATCATGTACGTATGCCTCTACATGTAGATGCATACATCCACCCATGCATGCCTTCATGCATGGGTGCCAAGACGTTATATGCAGAGCGCACTCAGAGGCAGACGGAAGCATGGAGGAAAAGTGCGGAAAGAGGTCACATGAAGTACTTGACGCTCTCGGTCCCTCCCTGTCTCTCTCTCTCTCTCTCTCCCGGGCACGGTCAAGTCTCCGGGCTTCCAGCCCACCCGAACGTTTGTTCGGGTTCGTTAGGGGAGTGAGGAAGTAGCGCAGTCAGTTGAAGAGCTACAGCCAGAAAGTATTCGATAACGACACTCACGGTCACACAACAAACGCACGCTCTCAGTTGACAAAGGCTGCTGACATGGAGGCATGATGGTGTCACAATTCGGATACAGTATCAGGGCAGACAATCAAAAAACAAACAAAGCACGAGGGCAAAATCATGCTTCCCCCTCCTACAAATCTGCCCGACTTTACAAGTCTTGTGTCAGGCTCTCTCTCTCTCTCTCTCTCTCTTGAAGTTTCCAAAAAGACAGGAAAAGCCGCTGGCAACTACCAGTTGCCTCGTTGACGAAGACCGGGAAACATTCTGGCCTGGTCAAGCTGGAACATATGCACAGCAATATAGGGACCGCAATAATTACAATAGGGTTTGGGGGGTATTATTATACTATAATGATAATAAGGAACCCCCAAAACCCTATTCTAATTATTAAGGCCCCTCCATTATGTAGGCTGAGATCTGGCTCTCTGATTTCCTTTTGGTCGACGCCCCTTTGCAACAAGGATCTACAGTCTGGCGGCTTTTCCAGTTTCGCCTCCAGGTTGTAGTTTAGGATATGATGCTTGTGGGGCTTACAGATAGCCGCTTTCCAGGAGCCTCATCAATCTCTCCAAGTCTCTTCACTGCCTGGTGTATGGACGACACCTAAAGCAGTGAACTGGATGTCATGTCCCTGTAAGCGGGTGGGTGTCACTGCTTTACCTGAACCCTAAACCCTAAACCCTGTTGGTCTCAGGGAAACCCCAAGCTCGGCAGTGCTGAGCTGATGGCCCCTCCCAGGAGATGCTCGCCCCGGTGTCGATGTCCTTGCAACTTCAGAGGGCTTAGGGGCTTTCGGGTTCAGGGCTTGCAGTTACAATCTTTCAGCATTTTAGCATGGAGCATCGACGATCGACTCTGACCCCGAGCCTGGAAGACAGGGTCGCCAGGATGCAGGAGGCTGAAGTCGCGTCCTCGAGAGTTTTACAGGCTTACCGACTCATACCACTACTGCCACCACTACTAGGTGCTAGTACCACTGGTACGACTAGTACTACTAGTACTACTTGTGCTACTACTACTACTACTACTACTACTACTGCTACTACTCCTACTACACTACTACTACTACTACTACTACTACTACTACTACTACTACCACCACCGCTACTGCTACTACTACTACTACTACGACGACGACGACTGCTGCTGCTGCTGCTACTACTACCACTACTACGACGACGACTACGACGACGACGACTGCGACGACGACAAACACGACACGCAGCCCCGGACTTATCTTAGATTAGCATCATCACCGTCGGCATCAGTAGCACACTTCCTCTTATTGGCATTAACCCCGGTGATAAGAAGACTAGTCGTGGTGTGTACTCATAGTAGTTTCAGTACAGCAGGCACAGTAGCGGTAAGCACACATGCTGATAGAAGGTCAACGGCCTCAGATCTGCCAATAGTCATAAAACAACACCACCGCATTCCTCTGTGAGTGCCTCTTTGCGCATGGATGTGCGCGCGTTCGTGTGTTTTACCCGTGCGTTTTATGCCATGGGCACAAAACCAGGTTTGCTTTGCATGCATGTGCATGCATGCAGGCATGAAGGGAGGGAGGGAGGGAGGGAGGGAGGGAGGGAGGAAGGAAGGGAGGGAGGAAGGGAGGGGAGGGGAGGGGAGGGGAGGGATACAGATGACCTGGAAGAAAAGCGACATGAACACTTGTGAAAGTAGATGCATGATTGACTTGATGAGTCGACAGGCAGAAGGACAGGCAGGCCGTCTGAAACCGATGCACAGGCCTTGAAGATTTGGGGCGATGATGGCGGAAAGGCTACCATCCGACCTTGCAGGAGGCAGACTCTCGCAGTTGGTGCATAAGAGAGGAGCTGAGTATCTCTTTGTCAGTGTTTGCATGACCTGAGCACCTACTTGCTCTACGGCCTGCTTGGCAACATTCATGACAAAGACGTCCCCAATACGAAATCCTGAAACTCTACTTGAGGTGGCCGAGTCGGTTAAGCCTCCCTCAGCCTACGACGAAGATCGTCCACACTTTCCAAACAAGCTTCGACGTTTCCATGAGGCACGTCCCTGACTTGCGACGTGGAGGTGGTTCTGTTCTGGTTTATCGGAAGCAGTACTTCGGTGAACGGAGGAAGACTGAGTGTTTGACCGCCGTGGATAATGCACCACGGATTGCAGGATGTAGACCTTTCTGGAGCCGAAGTTTTGCAAATTCCAGACCGGAGCTCCCACGCAAACTTAAGCATCGAATCTGATTCGACCCCTCTGCTTTCTCTTCTCTCTGTTTTTCTCCCTTGCTCGCTTGCTTCCTGCTTCCTTTCGGAAACCTATGGCGCGAGCACAACGCGTCCCCCCAGCTCTCTCTCTCTCTCTCTTTTTCCGCCAGGGTTGTGGTGTTTCGCTGTCTCTCTCTCTCTCTGTCTCTCCGTTTCTGTCTCTCGGATTTACCCCGATCGTCTCTGCCTCGATTGTCTTTGCCGCCCTCTCTTCCTCTGACAGCTGCCCAGCGTTGTACCGCTCCAGAAAGTCAAGCGTGCCCAGGACAAGCCTTGCTTCAAAGGTTGAGGCTTTAGGGCTGCCGAGCTGCGAGTTGCTTCAGAGCCCTAGGGCCCTCACTGGGCAGAGGTGGCCCAAAGCCAAAGCGTCTGGGTTTAGGGTTTAAGGTTTAGGGTTTAGGGTTTAGGGCTCGGCTGCTTTGGGACACTTGGTGAGGCGATACGCTTTACATCAACCCCTCAAGCAAGAAGGCAGCAGGCTGCAAAAAGAGCTATAGCCGTCCCCGAGCAGCAATCCTATGGGTCGACAGCTGGTCCATCAGAAGCGGGTGAGTGCAAGGGCGGCGGGACCAATCAAAAAAATGTCGTGGTGTGTCCAGCTCTGCCTCCCGTACGTTAAAGTGCACTTCCTCTTTTACTTTCCTTGCTTTGGGCATGATGCAGCTGGGTGATGCTGTGGATGCACTTCCAGGAGCGACCCAACGCGAAGAGAATCGGACCAGAATCTCATGCCAGCATAAGACGTGGAGTGCAGCAGAAAGACCATGGGGTCAAACTCTTGAAGACCGAGGAGCTGTTGCTGTCTGCGGAGCACCTGGTAAAGAGAGAATCACATGTCGGCACGCCATGGGTGCGACTGAAGAGAAGTAGCATTTCCAACTTTGGGCTGTTGTGCATCACCCTGTGTGTTCAAATATCTGCAAGACACGCAAGCTCCAAATTGAGATGCCGGTTTATCGTGACTACTACTACTCTGGATGTTGTTGGTTTCTACATGACCATGATGAGTACCATAATCGTCATACTGCCATTACTGTGGCCTGACTATCGTGATTGATCGCGGCTTTTTTCACAAATCAAAGCAGTACTATGGCAGTATCGTCGCTGGTTACCACCGTGGAAGAACACCCCAAAGCCTAACCCTAAACTCGAAACCCCAACTTTTAAACCATAAACCCTAAACCCTAAAACCCTAAAACCCATAAACCCACGGAAGGTTCCATCCGGGCCTCGGCGACGATGGTGCCGTGCGCCTGGGGCCCCACCTCGAAGGTCAAGTCCGTCTTGGCTACGAGGGGCCTGGGCTGAAGGAAGGGTGCCGGAGTCGAACTACAGAAAGATGTATATTTACGCAACACTTATTCACGCTGCACCTCTTCCTTTGACATTCTCTAAACTGCGCGGCCTCACTTTTCTGCAAAAGCTGCAAGCCATTGGCGGCTGGCCATTAACGAGCCCAGCGGCAAGAAGGGCTCGTCAGAGGAATCGCCCACGCAATCGAACACAATATGGACGTCCGGGCAGTCACCTCGGTGCAACTGCAACCAGCGACCCTAAACCCTAAACCCCTAAACCCCTAAACCCCTAAACCCTAAACCCTAAACCCACAAACCCTAAACCCTATACCCTAAACGTGAACACAACTGGCACAAGCCAGCTCACGGGCAAGCCGGGCGCAAAGCTGCAGCCTCCAGTGCAGGTCCGGCGAGGAAGTGTTGGTGATGATGATGCCACTTCCAAAGTTGGAAGTGGTGTTGTGCAGGTCTATGCACAAATCCTCTCTTTCAGAAAGTGTGAAGAACAACTTGAGCTAGTCTCAAACCGATTCTTCGACATAAAACCGCACACAGAAAGCTTTTGAAGCAGACAAAGCCAGGGATCTGAAGCAGATTCTGAGCCTCTGGGCCCAATCCGTAAGTTAATTTCCCGGGCGCGCTTCGCTTCCGACCGCTCGGTGTCGGCCCCGTCGCGCTGGGAAAGCCTCGACTTTGCGAAGCATCGGTTCAGGTCCTCGTCGACAAAGCGCTGGCAGCGCTGCACAGCTTCTTCGTTGGCGAGGAATGTGTCGACATCGAGAGATTTGAATTCGGAGAAACTCGGCTTTCGCAGCCAGGAGCGCACCAAGATGACGCCAGAGAGTTCATTGCCATGGGTGCCTCCGACCACTGCGACCCGCTTGATCCGCTTCATCGCACAACGCCGTACGCTCACGCGCCGTTCGCGGACGGCAATACTTGCGGTCGCAGTCACTACCCCGCACACCTGGGCGCAAACCACGAAGGAGATGCCAGTCAGGGCTGAGTCAAAGGAGCCCAAGCGGGTTGAACGCAACGGGTGTGTTACTGGCAGTGCTCTGGCACCATGAAGCTCCGGGAGCATAGTCCGTCCAAGTCTTGCCTTTATTGGAGCCCACTATCATCGCGTTGGTATTGAAACACATTACGCTGGCAATGTCGGCATAGTGCCCTCATGACCTCATACACAGGCCTCATGTAAAGCAAGGGATGCATGCGGCGAGCTGACTCGAATGAACTGATGCTTGCTGGAATGAACCTCATGGCTGCAGAGAAGCATGCCTAGGTGCGTGACATGTTGGAGCACTGAATCTTGCCCAAAACAGACAGCAGCACCAGCCAAAGAAAGCACCGACGAGCTCCATTGCCTGCGTTTTCTTCGTCAACAGACTTGACCTGCCGGAGGGAGGCGGTCGGCAGATTTCAGGGTGCTCAGGCTTGCAATCTAACACAGTCCCAGCTCATCGTCAGGGCACCAGATGCAACAGGAATTGTAATAATAGCAATAATCGTAGTAATTGTAATAATAGTAGTAATTGTAATAATAGTAATAATCAGTGTTCTAGAGCAGAACAGCCCCACCAGGCCCCATCATGCAGGTCTCCTGGAGTAAGGAGCTCCACTTCATGCTGCTCTTCTGTAAGAATACCTATAGTCTCCATGGGAGTTCCTTTTTTTTGGTGTAACCAATTATATATTAAGGATCCTATAAGGTAACCCCCAAAATGAACTACAATGGAGACTATAGGTAGTCTTGGGATCTGCTCTCATTTGAGTGTTCAGGCTGCGGAAGCTCGGGATGGCTCTCGGCTTGGCTTCTGCCAGGAGTTTCGCTCAAGCCTGGTTTAGGGTTCAGAGGTTTAGGGCTTCAGGGGTTGAGGTTTACAGGGTTTTAGGGTTTGGGGTTTTAGGGTTCGGGGTTTCAGGGTTTGCCTGTCCCAGAAGCAGGGTGTTCGAGTTCTCCAAGAACTCCACCCGAAACCTCAGATGCGACAAGAACTGTGGAAACAGCACGTGGGTAGTTCTCTACAGTAGGGTCCGTTTTAGGGTCCTTCATCGCGCGTTCTTGGATTCTTACAAAGGGCACCTATTTTAGAGAGCCACCCATATCTGCAAGGAGGTTCATCACTGGATCCAGAGCCGTGGTCCCTGTTAATCCTGCCCCGACACGCGAGACCCGGAAGCCGACCCCCTTGCATCTACTACGAGACCAATCCGATTGCTTCGGGGTTTAGGTTTAGGGTTTAGGGTTTAGGGTTTAGGGTTTAGGGTTTAGGGTTTAGGGTTCATCCACTACTACGAGACCAATCGTTCCTGGTTATACTTGCGATCCCAAAACCCCTACTCGAACTCTTCAGGCCCCTATATTCAACACAAAATTACAGGTAAGAGCCCCCTAAACCTTATTCTAACAAAGGCCCCCTAAACCCTAACCCTGAACACGAAACCCCAAACCCTGTTCTAAATTATTGTATCTGGGTAGTTCTCTAAATCAGGGTCTCTTTTAGGGACCCCCAGTATAGTACGGCACCCTTGTAGAAAGGATCCCAAAAGGGTCCCCTTTTTAAAAAACCACCCATATCAAACTTTCCGGCGCTGGGGCCATGGCGTGGAATCTGAGGTGCACAGTGCAGCGAAACCATCACCGGGCACCTGGAGCTGAAAAGGAGAGGAAAGAACAACTCCATAGGTTTAGGGTTCAGGGTTTAGGGTTGGGTTTAGGGTTTAGGAGTAGGGTTTAGGAGTTTAGGGTTTAGGGTTTAGGGTTTAGGCACTGTAAGGCAGTACTGTGAGCCTTGTACAGAGTTCTAACGGGTTCTATAAGGGTACTGTAAGGCTGATGTAAGGGTTCTCTTATTCTAGAAGGGCTTCAGGGCTCCAAATCGAGGCCAAGAAGCTCGTTATAGTCTAGTTACCAAGTTTACGTGCATTATCGGAAAAATGCCGTAAGCTCGAAACCCTCAGCCCCTTCTTTGGAGTCCGAAATCCAATAGACCGGGACCTGGTCCTGAATCAAGATAGGTGCTCCCTTCCGAGACTGGCTGCGGGAAACTCCTAGAATCCTAGGCCAGCAGATTTCAAGTATACAAGTTTAGGGGTCAAAGGGCGCAACAACAAACCCTAAACCCTAAACCCTAAACCCTAAACCTAGCAAGAGTGGCTGCTGGCAACAGCAGTGTGCAGAAGGCTCCATGCTCCTTAATTACTCACGCCAGTGCCAGCAACCGAAGCTGGCATGCTGAAGAAGACCACCGCACGCTGCAACTACCCCAAGACGATACTCACATCTGCTTGTCAGCTTGTATTGCAGAAGGATCTCGGAAGGCTTGAGACATGTCTCGGAACGCTTTTGTACTCCGAATGGGCCTGCGCAGTGCAAGTTTTGCCTGCCATCCCACTAGTCGCCATTCCTTCAGCGAATGTCCCATCGGAACGAAAGGTCCGAGTAAATCTGGAAAGCATGCGCTTGGCAGGAATGGCCGGAACCAGGCAAAAGTTCCTGCACCTACGCATGTCAAAACTTTAGACCCGAATTGAGGTCTGCGAATTAGATTTCTGGCTGACGCGCATCCTTCTCACCAGCGGCAAGGATTGGGATACGCGTGTGCCCAAAAGCGTGGTATTATGCACTTCCCAAAAAATATCGGCACTGCTAGCCTCTCGCAGTGTCCAGTGCCGAGCCGTGTAGGCAAGTGGTAGGTGCTGCACTCCGGAATTTCAGAGGCATCGGCAGCTTTCTTTGTCCAGATCGTTGCCGCTTCTTCGCATCTGTTTACATGGATGATGCAAACCCTAAACCCTAAACCATGGTACGGCGCATGGTTTTGTCAAGGGCAGTGGCTGGAAAGGACGCTGCTCATAGAAAAATCGTGCAATGCTTCCGCAAATTAAGTGGCTCTTGCAGGCCGATTAATAATAATGATACCAACAGGGCTTTGAGCATTGTATATTCGCTTGTTTATACCACAAGTATAGGAACTAGAAAGAACCATTCGCCAGTGGTTCCTAGCACCTGCTCAGCTGCGCATAGCGGCGCTTCACTCGGCCCGGGCACTCGATCTTCGTCCACACGAAGTAGTAGTTGTCATACTTGGCCGGCCTTCTTTGGTTTAGGGCTTAGGGTTTAGGGTTTAGGGTTTTTCGGGTTATGGCCGGCCCTTGAGGGCGGTTCTTGCCGAGGGCGTTAAAGCGTAGATAGGCTAGGCTGAAGTTCGAGTATGTTGCCACTCTACAGGGTTGCCGGGAATTGACCACCAAAGTACAGTAAAGGGTCAGCAGAGATTGCAAAGTCGTGCGATGGCTGCAGTTGCTCATCCTATGATGCCGCGTGGTGCTGACCGAGCTGCGGATTCGCAAAGTCGAAGTGGTGCTTCACGCCGAACCTGTTCCTGACTAATGTAGGGGCCTTGATAATTAGAATAGGGTTTGGGGGTCCATTCTGCTATATTTGCAAAAAGGAACCCCCCGAAATAGTATATATAGGGAATTATTAATAAGGCCCCCTTATTATTTGTGGTTGGAACGTCTACTTTCAGCTTCATCACGCTCCACCAGACCTGGTGGGTAATCCTGAAGCAAAACCTCCCCTTCAATCCTCAACTCCCTAAACCCTAAACCGCTGAACCCCTGAACCCTAAACCCTAAACCCTAAACCCTAAACCCCTGAACCCTAAACCCCTCTTCATGCGCCCCAAACCCCAAACCGAAACCCGAAACCCCTCGTCATGCGAGCTCAGCTTCCCACGACCCTGTCGGGCAGGGCACCAGGCCTGTCAAAAGGGGCCATATTTCTGGCAAAATCTGCTACAGTTTTGATAATTTCGGACTGGTTGCAAAACTCTTATACTACGGTTACAGCTACCCAGTTCTAGTTAGCACGATTTCTACTGCCATCACTCATGCCGGTTTTCTACGGTGCTATCCGGGATGATGAAGATGATGCTGCCGAATTACGATGATTGTCACTGTTAGTGGTACTGGTGTCGACGTTATCGCTACGCTTTTCGCAAGCACAAGATTGGTAGAGGCAGTAGTGGTAGTAGTACCAGTCGTCGGAGTGGCAGCAGTGGCAGCAGTAGCAGTAGCCAGAGAAGCAGGACCATTAGCAATCTTAGTAGTAGCACGAGTAGTTAAGTAGGCGTAGACCTAGCAGCCGCGGAAGTAATTCCCGCTGCTTGTTGCCGAAGCTAATTCTTGCGGCCATTGCCGTCCCTCGTCCTTGCTACCTACGTGTTTATGTATGCATTTACTTGTTGATATGGAAATATATACATATACATATATATATATAGCATGTACATATACACATATTTACCTTATATAAATCTAATCATTTTGTTTGTTTATCTATACTGTCTGCTCGGTGACTGATAATTACTGTCTCAAACACTAGCAGCTGTTTCACTTGTTCCACTTGCGCTCAGTGTTACTGTAACCGTACCTTCGTCATTCGAGGATTTGACGCTGAAACACTTCGCCAGCCATCACAGGATCTAATGACTGGACATCTACAGTAAGACATCAAGAACAAGCACCAACGCACCAATCACTACGCAGCCTCATACTCATGGTTAAACTGATTCCTGAATGCCGCAAGTCTCAGCTTTCCGGCTGTGGCAAATCCACTGTGCCCATGGAGGTTGTAGCGTGAGTTGGGAGGTGCACCCACAACAGACCAGCTCGTCCCTGATCCAGAATGCGTGCGGTATACAGGGACTAATGTGCGCAGACAAATTATTAAAATTACATGCATGAACAGCGCTGGTCTTTCCGTGTGTGAGCCTTTAGTATTGACTCCTCACATCTACCTATAGTCTCCATTGTAGTTCCTTTTGGGGGTTACCTTATAGGATCCTTAATATCCGCCGACCCCGCTGGGGCG